ATTATTATTTAATAATAATAATAATAATAATAATAATAATAATAATAATAATAATAATAATAATAATAATAATAATAATAATAATAATTATTATTATTATTATTATTATTATTATTATTATTATTATTATTATTATTATTATTATTATTATTTTTTTTTTTTTTATTATTTTTTTTTTGTCTTAAGATATAGGTCCCGATAAAATAAACTAGAACTAAATGTTTCTAATTTTTTTGGATTGGAATTGGAATTTTCGATTTCCGATCCGATTTTATTCTCGAAATTAATTTCGAAAAATTCCGACTTTCTTCTGAAAAATACACCTATAAATAATATATATTATATTACTTTTTTTTTTGTTTTCTGAAATAGTAATTTGATTTAAGTTTTGTTTTAGGATTTTGACATATTGAATTGTTGTTTGACGTTTTATTATAAATTATGATGCGATTTATTTTATTTATTTTATTAAACTGAAATTTAGTACTTATTAATTTTATTTTTATCAACGTGGATCAATTATTTTTCGAAAATTATGATTTTTTCAGAATTTTTTTGAAATTTTAAAACTTATTTAGTCCGAAAATTTTCTGAAATTTCCGGGCCTTTTGGAATTGGAATGAATTAATTGATTCCGAAAATTTTGGAATTGGAATTGGAATTGATTTTGTATTTCCAATTTTGTTTGATTTTTTTTCGAAAAGGCTTATTCCGACCCGGTCTATCCGACTTTCACCCCTAGATGTGGCTCACATATTAATTCAAACTAAGAATTTAATTAAAAATTAATTCGAACTTGTCATTTAATTCAAATTAGGTTTCGTTTGAGGGGCTCATAGCATATTACCCCTATATTTTTTTTGCGAACAAGGTCATGCTAGGTAATTGAAAAAGAATGAAACTATATTTAATGTATTTATATATTGTACGTCAATGACTCTTATAATCTAGGTAATATATTGTATTTAATAAATCATATATATATATATATATATATATATATATATATATATATATATATATATATAATGAAGT